GCCTACAGGGTGCAGAGAGAGGCTGGGGGCTTCAGACAGTCCAGGAAGGCTTCTCTGAGAAGGTGATGCCTGAGCAGAGCCTGGGGTCAGGAGAAGCCGGCATGGGTGGGATGCGCTAGGCAGAGGGGCTGTCTAGGACAGAGACTCGGGAGCAACTGGGACAGGAAAGGCCACTGTGGCTGGGTGAGTTGGGCAGAGAGGTGGGAGTCAGAAGTGCAGACTAGGAAAGGGGGGGCCTCGGGCAGAGCTGTGGAGTGACGGTGTGCAGAGGGTATCTGAAAGACAGCAGTGAATATGGGGAGTGAGTGGCATGTCAGGGACCCCAGCATGGAGATTGCTGCCCACTGGCCAGGAGAGGTGGTGACCCTATGTGGGGCTCAGAAATGGGGCCTCATCTCTCCCTCTCTCCCACTCCAGACCCCTCAGCTGCACCCCCGACCATGGACCACCCTCTGTAGCAGAGGAGCCCCTGGAGGCACATAACACATGGCGTGTGGGCCCCGCACCCCTGCTCAGCTGCCAAAGGGCCCTGCGATGTTGCCGGGGCAACTGTTCCATCCAGCCTGTTTCATGGCACCCTGCACACCCACAAATGTCACCACAGGGCGCCAGGCAGGTCTGCCCGTGTTGCCCATGTGGGCGGGCAGGTGTGGCCTCATTGGGGGGGTGGTCCTGCCCCCCAGCTTTGGCAACACCCTCTGTGTGGGGGCAGTGAGTGTGCTACATGGTTGGGGACGCTGCAGCCACGCACCTAGAGCATCCGGCCAGCTGCAGGTTTTATTTGGGAGCTGGAAGGCTCCACTGCCTCCTGGGGCTGCTGTGCACCCATCAGTGTCCTGCTGTGCACCCATCAGTGTCAGGCCCCTCTGCTTGCCCGTCACGGTCATGTTCCAATTGCAGGGTGCCGACCCTGGAGAAACCAAGGCAAGGGTGTGGGGAAGCCAGAGGGTTTTGGACAACACTGTCTGTCGTGGGCTGGGGCTGGCTAATAGACGTGCTGGGCCCCGGTTCCCGGCCACTACCCTGGAGGAGAGGTCGGTCCGGAGCCCAGCTGGGGCCCTGGTTGGGGAGGGGGGAGGGTCAGTGCTGGTCAGAAGCAAGAACTTGCCCCCAGTGGGAATCAAGGGGACCATTGACAGCCTCCCTGAGGACACCCGTTACTTGGCAGTGGAAGGTGCTAGGAGGTAGGGGGCCCTGACCCACTGCCCACTGCTCAGCAGGAGTCACTCCGTTTTTGGAGTGTGAGAGGGGGTTCTGGTTTGTCATCCACAAATGCATCATGTGAGGGTGGACGAAGCGGAGGGGAGAATAGAGTACCTCAGCCTCAGAGGAGGTCTTACCCACCGTAGTGAGGACAGTGCAGGGGCTCGGCCACCCACACCCTTGGTCTGCCAGAGCCGAGGCCCCCATGCCCACTGGAACGAGGACCCAGGGTGCCTCCTTCAAATGCTGAGATATTCTCTAGTAATCAGTTTGAGGACTAAGGTGCACCTAACCCAAGCCAGTGTCTTTTCAATTGCCTCGTATACATGAGAAAGCTGGACAGTGAAGGAGGAAGACTGAAGAAGAATTGATGCCTTTGAATTATGGTGTTGGAAAAGAATATTGAATATACCAAGGACTGCCAGAAGAACAAACGTCTCTTGGAAGAAGTACAGCCAGAATGCGCTTTAGAAGCGAGGATGGCGAGACTTTGTCTCACATACTTTGGACATGTTATCAGGAGGGACCAGTCCCTGGAGAAGGACGTCATGCTTGGTAAATAAAGTAGAGGGTCAGCAAAAGGAAGAAGACCCTCAATGAGATGGATTGACACAGTGGCTGCAACAATGGGCTCAAGCATAACAACGATTGTGAGGATGGTGCAGGACCGGGCAGTGTTTCATTCTGTTGTACACAGGGTCGCTATGAGTCGGAACCGACTCAGTGGAACCTAACAACAACAGACACGAATTTTAGCTCATAAAAAGAAACCGTTTCCGTGGAGCCCGCGTCAGTTCCAATCAGAAATTATTTCCCAGTAAAGCTAAACCCCCGTCACTGTAGCAGATGGCTCAGAAAAAACAAGCCTTTTAGTCAAGTTCAACTTTTAAACTTGCTCCAGCCCCACCCCTACTCGTGCAGTTCAGATGACAGGGGGGGTGGGGTGTGGGGGGACAGCTGCAGCAAGGTGGGCTGGTGGCGCTGGACGCTCGCAGCTCCGCTTCCTAAGGGCCAGAGCCTGGCCTGTTCCCCCGTGGCCTGTTCCCCCTGCAGGCGGCAGCTGTCGGGGAATCAGCAGCGTGGAAGGGGATTCAGGGGGGCAGGGCTTCCTGACAAATGCTGGCACCTGCTCGCTGCCGGGGCAGGGGTCATCCAGCTCCATTCTCTGTGGGGCCTCTCAGGCTCTCGGTTTGTCATGGTCACGAGGCTGCCTGCCCCACCACGCTGCCTTTCCGGGGTTCGGGCCTCTCGCCCTGGGCGGCCCGGGGAAATGAGGCCAATTGGGGTGGGAAGGCCAAAGCAAAGTGTGGCAGGTGCCCCCACCCTCCAAGCCTGAGTCCAGCCACAGGGTCTGGGTGGGCTGCAGGACGAAGACTCCAGGCAGGTCAGCTGAACTGGCCGCTTGTCAGGAGTCAGAGCTCTTTAAGGACCCCAGTGGTTCTGGGTCAGCCCCAGGGCCGCATAGGCATCTAGGGACTGGGGTATCTGGGAGCCCCTCCCAGGCTGTGTGGCCAGCGCGCTGAAAACCCCAGGGAAGCTCCTGGTGCTGGGCTTTCGGGGGTGTCTTGGGTTCCCCTACCCTGAGGGGCACCGGCTCAGGAGCAATGACCTGGCACACACATGCCCACATGCATGTCCTTGCGCGGTACCACGAGTCTTTTCCCCTGAAGCAGGACTGAGCCTCAGTCTCTGGGGGCCAGGAGCCTGGACCTCCTAGGCTCTGCCCAACAGACCCAAAACAGGGCAGGGGGGAGAAGGGTCCAGGGCTTGGAATCCATCTCTCGAGGCTGGCTCTGGGCCCCATTGCTGGGTGGGGTGGAGTGTGCACATGGCCACCCAAGGGAACCCAGTGGAGGGTGAGGGGCTGAAGAGAGGAACTTTACACCGGGGAGAGCCACAGGGAGAAAGGGAGGAGGGGGCGAGGACACTGTCCTGGACCCAAGCACACTCTGTTGCCTACTTCCTGCCCCGGCGCCGCCCTCCTGGAAGTCCCTAAGGCTGGTCTCTTAGGAACCAGGCCCCCCGGGACCATGTGTGGGAATCCCAGACACAGGCAGGCTGGGAGTACTCGTGGTCCTCTGGCACCTGCAATGTGCCAGATATGGGCTGGGCCCACGGGGACCAGGAGCCCTCACACCTGGGCTTCCTTCTCCAGGAGCAGGCTGGCCAATCTCTGAAGGCCCAGGCCAACTCTTCCAGAGGCTCCGAGACCACCCTGCCAAATGCAGCTCCCCTATGACCCCTTCACAGCACCCACGATGTCTTGTCCATCTATTTGTTGCTGTGGGTCTGCTTCTCCCACCGTCGGTGGCGGCCCTGTTTCTTGTCCTCCAGGGGTCTCTAGCATTGAGGACAGTCCCTGGCATATGGTGGGCGCTCAGGGAGTGTTTGTTGATTGAGTAAGTGAATCTGCACCCAGGCTAGCTGGGACTAGAGATGATCCTATGCTGGTGAGAGCAAGACTGGACATCTATGGTGGAGTGGGCCAGGAGGCTACTGGAGGATGCCGAACATGGCCCGGGCTCGCAAGAGGGTAGGAGTGTACCGGGAAGGGGTGTTCAAGGCCCAAGAAACCTGTGAGCAGAGGTAAGGGCGTAGGAATAGCCACTGCAGAGGGGGCGGCCGAGCAGAGCCCCAGAACTGCCAGGGCAGGCAGAGGGGAAATGACCAAGGTCCCAGCACCTGGCCCCTGAGAGGAGGCGGCCCGCTGCCCACCCCCTGCAGTCCCCAGGGTGGGATTCAGTCCAGGACGCCCTCTGCAGACCTAAGCCTCCTTCCCTCCTGCAGGGGCAGCCATAGCTGTTGGGGAGGCAGGCCCGGAGGAACGAGGGCAGCGCGGGCTGGCAGGGGGAGAGGCCCAGAGGGTGCCTGAGCATCTTCTGCCACCAAGTGGCAGAACCTGGCGTGCCTGTGACCCCTGGTGGGAGGGGGTGGGGAGGAGGACTCCGTAGTTGTCCACTCCCAGCCTATCCACTCCTGGCCTGCCTGCAGGCCCAGCGCCCTGGCCCAGGACCCCTGAGGCCTGGCTGGCCTCTGGCTCTGGACTTCTTTGCCTCACTTCTTTGTTGGCTAGGGATCCCCACTTCCTAGTGTTGGTAAGAAAACAACTTCTCCAGGAGCCAGCTCTGGGCCTGCACGTGTCTAGGAGTCTAAATAGTTACTCAAGAGGTGTAAACTGAGGCTCGAGCGGCTGAGTGAGTCTGGGAAGCTGCAGAGCCAGGGCGGGGCCTGTTTTCCCGCCCCTCCCCCACACCAGGGGCTGGCCAGAGGGACCGCGGGTGGGGGCTCCCACCACGTGACTTCCTGCCCATTGTCCCTGCCTGTCGCCAGGCGCAGAGGGGTGGGAGGCTAGTGGAAGTCCGTCTAGCGTTCTCTACAAGTTGATTTTGCGGTGACGGGCGGGGGTGGGGGGCAGAAGAGGGAATGTGCGAGACCTCCACCCACCGTAGTCCTCTCCCTCTGCGATGGGGGAGGAAGTAGCCTCAGTTTCCCCACAGTATGGGGTCAAGCCACTTTCCATTCCGACAGTGTCACAAAACTGGGGTCACCCCCGGCTTAAACGCTGGGCAGTAGGGTCTCAGTCGCGGGCGGGCGTAGGGGTCGTGGTCCAGGACGCGGGGCGGAGGTCTGGGTCCAGGACGCGGGGCGGAGGTCTGGGTCCAGGGCACAGGGCGCAGAGTGGGGGTCTGGAAGTAGGGCGCAGGGCGAGGGTCGGGTGTTCAGGGCGGGGTCGCGGGCCTCCTCACTTCCGCCGGACGCGGCAGGAGAGGCGAGGGCGCGTGGTACGCCCGGAACGGATGGCGGCGGACGCAGGCGGCGGGTACAGGCCGCGGCTGAGGCTGAGACGCCGGAGGCCACCCTCGGAGGCTGGGTGAGGCCGGCTAGGACGGCCTGCGGGCCGGGTTCTCAGGGGAAGGGGGTGCCGAGGTCCCAGGCCGAACTTGACGCCCCTCCTCCACCCCGCCCCGCCCTGCGAGCTTCCCACCCGGGGTGTCGCCCCTTCCCCCAGCGCAAGTCCCCTCCCCTCGTGCCGCCCCTCCCAGCCTTCGGGACCACTCCGCGCGTTCTCCGGCAACTCGCTCCCCCCGTGTCGCACCCCCTCGCCGTCCCACCCCCACCGCACTGAGCGCCTCCCAGTTTCATACTCAACCCCCCGAGTCCCTTCCCCCTTGCTGCCTCCTTCCCCCAGCGCTGAGCCTCCGTGCCTTGTCGCCCACCCCCTCGCAGAGCCCCCGACTCCGTCCCCAGGCCCCCCAGCGGCCGCCCCTGGTTCCTGCAGGAGACCGGGAGCGGGAGCGAGAGCGAGAGCGCTGAGCCCTGGGCTGAGCTGCTGCGCACCCTGCTCCCAGGTATGGACCTGTCTACCGCGCCCCCACCGCTGCCTGCCTTCCCGCTCCAGGTGCGTCCCGGGGCCCCGTGTGGGTAGGGGGCGCCGTATGCAGTGCTCTGCTGCCACCAGGGCCCGCAGGGGCGATGCGGTGGCTTTCGGGAACGCCGGCTCCGTGGGGGCGCGTGGTGCCGCTGGTCGACGGTGGGCTGGGGACCCGCGTCAGGTCGCCAGGCCAGGTCTCCAGGCTGGCGCAGCTCGACCATGCCTTTCTTGCAGGAGCCCAGGCGCGACCCCGAGCACACGGCGCCCGTTGAGGTCTTCACGGTCGGAGGCAAGGACTTTCCCTGGACGCCCTTTCCGCCGGCTCCGGGGCGCGGCACCCGCTCCTCCTGCCTGCTCCGCGGGATCAGGGGGCGCCCGGGGTCCCCCGCCCCGTCCGCATTCCGACACCCCGAGCCTGAGCCCGGCGTAACCCCCATCGCCAAGGAACAGCCGTCGGTGGAGGAAAAGCCACCGTCGGTGGAGGAAAAGCCACCGTCGGTGGAGGAAAAGCCACCGTCGGTGAAGGAGGTTCCGGCACTGGTGTGCTGCCCCATGTGCCAGGCAGAGTTCAGCACCAAGTGAGTGGCCCACCCTTGGCCTCCCTCCACAGTCCCAGGGAACCCCAGCTCTGTTTGGAAACCACAGCCATTTTCAAAAGGTCAAGAGCACCAGTAGCTCAGCTTCAGCCCTTATAGAGTCACATTTCATGCTCAAGCTGGTTGTGCAGTGTGCCGGTCCCTTCCCAGGTTACTGAGTTGGAGGTCCACCCGCTTGTCCACCTTCTGGGACGCAGCAGGACCAGCCGCAGATTTAGGGCCACACCGACTCTACGTAGGAGGCAGGCAGCCTCTTCTCCACTTGGTGGAGCCCAGGACACCAGCCCAGGGTGCCTCCAGGGCCATGCCAGGCCAGGTCCAGTGGGCAGAACCCAGTGTGGGTCTGCAGTGGTGGGTTGTAGACTTCAAAAATGATGACCTGGTTGTGGTGTCTGGAGAAACCTTTTCTTCTCTTAAAAACCCAAGATATTTTTATGCCTTGTTTCTAAGTAAGGAGAATGGAACCTAATTTTGCTATTAAGCCCAAACTGCCCAGCGTGGGGGTCACATGTCTTGCTGCACCAGGCCAGTTACCTATGGGGCCCTTCTCACTGTAATTGCAGTCCCCCTGGCATGAGGCTCTGGGGTCAGGACAGCAGGAATGAGCAGGTTTAAAAAAACAAAATCCTGTTGCCTTCGAGTCAATTCAGACTCAGTGATCTAATGAAGAGCAGGCTTCGAGCAACCAGCTGCTCCAGGTTTAATGGGCTGGGAGAGTGTGCCGAAGTGACTTGCTCTGTCTCCGGTCTTGGAAAATCAAAAAGAGCGCTATCAAAACCAGGGTGAAGGGGATAGATTCCAGAGTTAGCCCCAAACTGCAAGGCACAGACCGAACCAGTTACGAAAACATATAGCACAAACGCTGTACAGGAACTTGTTTAGATGCTTTTATTCAGAGAGAGAGACACATACCTTAAAATCAAATGTCTGGGTTTCTCCAATCTGTAAAATTTTGTCAGAACCAAGCCTGGAAAGGCCTGGTGTTGGGGTGAGCCCCAAGCCAACTATGCAGGTGAAGCTTGCGTGAGCTTTCAGCAGGTGCACTGTGTTAGGCAGGTATGGTTTGATTCATGCTGTGCTGTTTGAGGAATGTCGTTATTTAGTCTTTGTTGGATATGAATTGGTGATTCTTCTGTTTTAAATTTCACTCAACATTGTAGCCTGCAGCAGTTGGATGTGGTGTGGGGGTGATGGCACCCAAACAGCTCAGGGGGCTGGGGAGAGGAGAGGGGCTGGTTGCTGGTCTGGGTGCATGGCTCTCCAAGGTGGACCATGTGTAGGGGAAGCCACAGGTAGGTACAAGGTGGGTTTGGCAGGAGGGTTGGTGAGCACCTGAAAGAACATTTCCACTGCAGGTAAGCCTGCCTGAAGCGCCTCTAGAAAATTCCTGAGCCTGGAACCAAAACCAGTTGCTGTGACTCATGACAACCCTGTGTGTCTCAGTGCAGAACTGTGCTTCATGGGGTTTTCAATAGCTGATTTTTCAGAAGTAGATCACCAGATCTTTCTTCTGAGGCACCTCTTGGTGAACTCGAACCTCCAACCTATCAGCAGCCGAGCGCTTAACCATTTGCACCACCCAGGGACTCCTGAGCCTGGAACAGTACTGGAGACTGCAGAAATGCTTCCAAACCCGGTGTGTCATTGTCCACACTTCCTTCTTACCACTGGCGTTTTGAGATTATTGTAAACTGGAAGTACTAACTTGCTTACTGATCCTGACCAAGCAGTGAACGTCTTTTCAAACAGTGAGATCTTTTTGATCTGTACCAATCAGGAAAGCTAGACACAGAAGACACTCGTGAAGGCTCTTGAGGAGGTTGATTTTCTTGGTAGAAGCCGCTAAGATTTGTGATGCCGTCAGGGCAGCCCCAGCCCCTCCTCCCCACTCTAGGCCGAGGCCTCTTTGTCTTTGAATCCCTTGCGTTTCTAGATCATCTAAAAAAAGACTCCACAAGACAGGGACATTAGAAAACGCTTTCCTTTTTGAGGCTTTTAAACAGTTGTTTAAATGATTTGGCAGAGTGCCCCTGCGTTTTCCAAAGTGGGTGTTGGTGAAGTTAGGTCCACGTTTCAGTGTGTCTGGAATGCTTCTATCATGGTCTTTCATTTGATTGTAAACAAGAGAGCATACTTCAGCCGGAAGACAGACACCTGAGAGAGATGACACGTCTCTGATGAGGACAGGGAGATAGATGACCACGTCCCACATGACTGGGGCAACTGTGGGTACGCTGGGACTCCAACAGATGGGGCCACCAGGCTGAGGCAGGCTGGGCAGCTCAGGCCCCTCAGCAGGGACCATGGGCCTTGAGGAGGCTTCAAGAGGGGCCGGTCTAACAGCCAGACGCAGTAATTGAACTGTTGGTATTGACTTGACGGCAATTGTTGATGGTTATCGCAGAACCATATTTTGAACAAAGTTTGCTTTTAGTTATGCTTGGGGAAAGTTTTTAAGGACAGAGACTCTTGAACTAATGCTTGCCTTCAACAGGTGGGAGGAGGGGGCGGTGCTGGGCCCAAAACTGGTCAGAGGTAAAGGCCATTCCATTTGGACAGGTGACCTCACTGGTCAGCCAGGGATGTCAGCAAGCACAGGCGAAGGCCTGGTGGGTCTGAAGGGTGGAGAGGGCGCCTGGGCTGGATGGTAGGGCAGAACCGAGGCTGTGGCCACAGGGCGGTCTGCAGGAGGTCTTCAGGTCTGGAGGCATTTTTATGAAACGCCTCCATGGCTCCAGATGGCATCTCTGACTCACTGCTCCCAAAGGTGAGGGGTGAGTCTGGTGGCTGGAGGAACCCAGGTGCCTGGTCAGAGCTTGGGGGCTGGCAGTAGTGTCCAAGACCTGCTGTTGGGAAGAGGGGGGCCCTCGACAGTGTCTGGGAGAGGCCTGGCGCACTGCTGTAGGGTGCACATGCCCAGGAGCCGACAGCTGAGGCAGGAAAACAGTTCAGGTTGACGGAGTGGAGTGGGAATGGAGTCGGCGGGGGGGAGGTGGTGCTCCTGAAGACCTCAGGACCCGCCTGGACGTGAGGGCAGAGGCTGTCAGAAGTCCCACGTGAGTGCAGTTTGGAGTGTACAGATTGCCCTGGGGGCCTTGAACCCGAGATAGGAGAGGCACGGCCCCTCCTTCTAGCCACCCAGTTCTCAAGTGGCAGTAGCATCCGGATCCTTGAGGCTTTGTTCAGACTCGGGGTGCCAGTGCTGGCCCAGCCCCCACCCTGCATGCAGGGAGTCCAGAGGGGCTGAGAATGTGTCTCACAACCCCACGATGTGTGTCCAGGGCGACGCTGTGAAAATATTTGAGAGAAAGGTTCAAAAGCAGCAACACAATTTGGAAAAGGCCATTTGTGGGCCGGTGAGGTCCATGCAGTACCTTGAACTCCTGACAGTGGTCACGGATGGCCACCTCTTTCCCAGGCCCTGTTCCTGCTCCTGCCAATTTACGTCTCCGGCAGGCCATTCGTGCTGTTGCCAGCTTACGTCAGCACAAGGGCATGAAGGTGCCTAAACGGATAATTCTGTGAATGAGAATCAGCACAAAGCTGGTTCCTAGGAGGTGGAGGTAAAGTGTAGCCGCGCTTTCCAACTTCTCCATGATTTCTAACACCGGCTGCCCCCCCGCCCCCCGCTGAGTTCCATAATTCGCTATAATGTCTCAGAGCTCATGGACTATACTTACCCTCATGTGGTTTACAGTTGTAAGGTAAAAAGGATACAATTCATTAGGGCAAAAGATACAACTCTGGAGTAACAAGGAACAACCAGAATCAGCATCAGGAAGAGGTACACAGGCAAGGTCTGGAAGGGTCCCCCAAGTGGAGCGCACATCCCACCCTTCATCAGCCAGGACAGCTCTCAGAGCAGACAAGCTCCCGCTGGAACAGCTCTTGGACTGTTTTCCTTCAAGTGCTTTTCAGCTGGTCTTTGGTGCCCAGCTCAGCATCCTGACATCCTCATTAAAGCTATGGCAGCCAGAGGGCTTTGGCTGGGGCAGGGTGGGGGGTGGTGGGTGGGAGAGGCACTGGTGTCTGAGGCTCTTTGGCTGGTGCTGCTGCCTGCTTCTCAACTACCACAGCTCTCAGCTGGCTCTGGGAGGGTTTTCAGCGCAGGACTTCCCTGACCTAGGGCATGTGTTATCCCTCCTGCCTCTTGTTAACCAGGAAGCTCCCAAACCTCCGTGTTCCAGGGCTTTTATAAGCCAATCCTCGTGCTTCTTGTCAGTTACCAGGCAGGCTCCCTAGCCAGACCAGGGCCTAATAAATCTTCAGGGGCTGTTGGTTACTTAGGAAATCCCCTAGGTTGTTTTTTCTAAAGAACCAAGAACAAAAGTGATTTCACACCTTGTAGTGCCTAAGAATATTCTGGCCACACAGAGGCACCCCTTTCCATCCGGCTGGTAATGAGCAGCAGTTCATGCTTTCCTGCTGTGGGCCCTGTAGGCTGAGGACTTGGTCGAAGTGAGTGACCTGTGTCCCCTTCCCCTTGTAGGCTGTCCCAGCTGGACATCGACGCCCACCTGGCTCAGTGCTTGGCCGAGAGCACAGCGGACGTGGTGTGGTGATGTTGACACCAGTGCTCAGCATGGCCCTCCAGGGTTCATCCACCCGCCCCATCCTGGCCCCTCATCGGCCCTGCTGAGCCGGCGCAGCCTGGATGCTGTCTGGGGCCCTGGCCCCTGCCCCACCCTGACTGCATCATCTCCATACCTGAATGTCCACATTAAAGATGTCACATTGAAAGCCAGTCTGCAGTGCCTTTCTTTGTGTTGAGACAGAAACGTTTGGTTCCTTTTTCTTCTCTAACACGCGTGTAAGGGTGTGAACTCTAGTTTGCCACAGTCAGAAAATCACAACTGCCCCACACAGGTGTGCACTTCCAGGCAAGTAAGTGGCGCAGAGCCTTTGGCAGTGGAAATCTGAGTATTTGTCTCTCTGTCAGCCCCTCCTATGGACAATCGACCTGATTGGAGGATTGAGTGTTGCCCATCCACGAAGTTTGAATTGTCTAACATGGACTCGGTCAGCTGTTACATAATCCCAGACATTTAGAAGAGGTACAAAGACCTTCCTTGCTGTGATGCTGTGGGGCCTAGTCACTGACAGGCAGTTTTCAGAACGTGAGGAGAGGAGGGAGCCCCAGGCGGACCCCCGGTGGCCGCTGTGCTAGACAGCCACTTGGCCAAAGCACACGGCCGCTGCCCACTGCCTGCTGCCCGTGCTCGGCACCCACAGGAAGCGGCATCTGTAGACTTTTTTTTCAAGTGCTGTTCAGCTGGGCTTTGGTGCCCAGCTCAGCACCCTGACACCCGAATTTCCACCACAGTGGCCGGAGAGCTGTGGTTGGGGGGCAGGATGGCAGGGGTGGGAGACACAATGTGGATAGCCTGGGTTAACGTGGAAAAATCTGTTTTCCTTTCAAGCACCTTTGCTTTCTGGAAACACATTGTTATGGGTTGAATTGTATCCCCTCCCCAAAAATTAATGTTGAAGTCCTAATCCCTGGTACCTGTGAACGTGAAATAGGGTCTTTGAAGATGTCATCAGTTAGCATGGGGTCATACTGGAGTAGGGTGGGTCTTAATCCCATCTGAGTGGGGTCTTTGTAAAAGAGAAGAGACACAGAGAAGAGGGCTAGGTGAGGACAGTGATGCTACAGCTGCAAACCAAGGGCCACCCGGGGCTACCGGAAGCCGGCCGAGGTAAAGGGTCCTCCCCACCGGGAGCCGTCGGGAGAGAACATAGCCCTGCCGACACACTGAATTTGGACCACCTGCTTCCCGAACTGAAAGAATGAATTTATGTTCTTACCAGCCACCCACTTTGTGGTATTTTGTTACGGCAGCCCTGGGAGACTCATACACACCTACTTTGTTATTTTAATGAAAATAGTAACAACCATCAGTGTTTTCATGAAAGTCTTTAATGGATGTGCAAGAACATGAACGGCCTTAGCCGTGGAGGGGGAGCGTATCATCCACAGGAGGAAGCTGGCTGGCGATGGGCTCTGCCCAGTCATTGTACAAACCACACCGACGCCTCTACAGCCTTGCTGTCACTGTCACCACAGTCCTCAGGAATATTTCAAAGGACCCAAGCTGCGGCATGATTTTTTTTTCTCCCAAACCACAGCCGCAGTCACATCCTTCTGCTTCTATAATTTATAAAACAATTTACGTATATAAAGACTTCCCCTTCATCATGAATAGAACGTTACCCGTACATTTTGGATGCGAGCAACCACACAGGTAACCAGCGAGCTATTTGGCAACATGGTGACACTGTGGGTAAATGCCATATATCTTAATCAGTCAAGGGCCCCGTATATTTGCGCAAAGTGTCACTGTACCCAGAGCGGCAGAACAACCCACATTCTGGGGCTCGTGGGAGGCAGTCTGTCCGTCTCTCCGTGAGTTGATGTCAGTATGTCCCAGCTGCTCTGTTTGGAGTTACATGTGACAGAGCCAGTTCATGTAGCCGTCTAGCCAGGCGACTGTCCACTGAACACCAGCTGGGCAGTAACCCTGTGACACTCCTCTCTGACCTGTGTTGCAGCCTGAGTTCAGCCTTCCAGGGCATCTTGTGAGTTATGAAGGGTGTGCTGGCTGCATCACACCCCCATGTTGGATAGAAGCTGCCCCAGCTCGCATTGGGTGTCCAGGCCCCGGCACACCCAGGTGTGCCTGGCGTGGCGTGGGGACAGGGGCCGCTGGCACATGGGCTTTTGACACTGCTGTCCTAGCACCGTGGGGCCGAGGTGCCACGTTCAGCACCAGACACAGTGCCATACCCTGAGAAGCCTGTGTGTGAGCGTCTGGCTGTGAACAGGCCCCGCAGGGACGCGCTGACACCGGATCTCTCTGCTCCTTCCCCACCACACCTTCCACCCCGCACCGCCAGCCCCACAGTCAGGTGGAGTGGCCTGGTGTGTGGCTGCGTGCTGCGCAGGCCTCAGGGAGGGGCTTGGCTCGAGGTCGGACAGGGCCTGGGTCCCCACCATAGGCAACACCCTCCTGCACACCTGGACAGCAAAGGGTGTAAAAGGCAGCAGTCGCCATAGCAGATGTGTTAGGGACTTCTAACAAATCCAAACACGGAGACCCTCCTTTTTTAGAAAACCCACGGTTCGGCTCTACAAGCTGCCCCTCATGTAGGAAGAAGGCTAAATGAGCGACCCATGACCTCGGCAGGTCACAGAAGCAGTTGGTGAGCTCTGCTAGGAAAATGGGGTGTCTGTGGGTATCTAAGCTTACTGTCTGACTTTAAGCTAGGGCCCCAAATACCCAGGTGCCATTGAATTGACTTTGACTCATGGTGACCTCATATCTGTCAGAGTAGAACTTTGCTCCATGGGGTTGTCAATGGCTGATTTTTTGGAAGTAGACTGCCAGGCCTTTCTTCCAAGGCGCCTCTGGGAGGACTAGAACTTCAACCTCTCAGCAGCTGAGCACATTCACCATTTGCGCCACCCAGGGACTCCTGGGGCCCATCATACACACATACTTGTAAGTCTTGTCATTCCGAATACTGTATTATCCCTCATAAAAACATCCCCCCCAATTCCCACACATAACACAAGACGTCACGTAGGCGCCGCTCCGTGTTTTCAGAGATGTGTTCTGTGTAGGTTTAGTTTCGGTTTTCTCGTTTTTGGTCTGTGGGCGCTTTGGTGAGCCATGTGTTTGAAACCTCTAGGGTCCAATTTTACCATTACAGTCCGGTGTGCCGGCCAAGGCCAGCGGTGCCCGTCTGGTGAAGGGTGACTTCAGGTGAGTGACGTGCTGTACGAAAATACTTGTTAAATATTAACAACAGGAACTTACCGGGACTTAGAAAATGTTCCGTGTTTGTACAAATTCTCTATCACGGGGTGTCCCTTTAGGCACTTAGGCTCCTGTCCCCCCACCTCTTATCTGATTGCACAGCAAGCACAGCTCCTCTGTGTGTGGGGGTGGCGTTGGGGTGCCCGGCATGTGCCACTGGGGAAAAAAGGCATCAGAAGGAAGCTTCGACATCATAGGTACACTTTATTCCCCGGGACATTACAAGCTCGCCCTCCTGGAAGAGTCGTTGGCGCACCAAGTTCTGTTTCTAGAAAGTGTGCACCTTCAGAATCGCAGGGCAGCCTCTTCCTGCACATGGGAACCGCGGCTCCGCCGTGTCACACAGGCACAAGAAGCAGATTCTGTCCGCACAGAGCCGGCCTGTCAGGCCCAGATGCCAAGACTGTTCTCTCAGAGGAGGGCGCCCGCAGACACCTCTCTCCGCGGCCCTGGCGGTGCATGTCCCTCCCTGGCCGCACTCCAAGCCTCACGCCCAGCCTGGCATGCATATGCTGTGGTTAAGGATAAAGTTAAAGGGTCATTCACACGGTATGTCCCCAGCAGGGTCGCCACACCCTCACACGGACTCCTCAGTGGAGAGCAGTAAGGGGTTGATGTACTCGAAGCCTTCAAACTCGGACTGGTCGATCCTCTTGATGACGTCCCTTCGGGCAAAGGAGACAGTAACGAGAGAAATCAAGAACATCTCCCTGAGTTTCTGCCCCTCATATAAGATTCCTCACGCCAAACGCACAGTTGTTGGGTGCTATAGAGTCAGTTTAGACTTAGTGACCCTATATGACCGAGTGGAGCCCTGGTAGCATGGCGGTTAACAGCTTGGCTGCTAACCAAAAGGTTGGCAGTTCGAACCCACCAGCCTCTCCTTGGAAACCCTATGGGACAGTTCTACTCTGTCCTATAGGGTTGCTAGGGGTCGGAATCGATTCGGGGGCACCGGGTTTATATGACAGAGTAGAACTGCCCTATTGGATTTTCTTGGCTGTAATGGTTGATAAAGCAGATCGCCAGGTCTTTTCTCCTGGGGAGCTGCTGGTGGGTTCAAACTGCTGACCTTTTGGTTAGCAGCCGAGCACTTAACTGTTGCACCACCCATAGTAGGAAATTAAAAGATGCTGACTTTGGCCAAGAGTGACATACACCAGATGCCCAGGGCCATCACCGTGGGGCCACTGTCACCCTGCCTGTCAGCTCAGCACGGGGAGCCCTGGCCCTCCTGCGCCCCCTCCAGCAGGCCTTACTCATCATCCGGGGTGAGCTGCACTGGCTCGCTGGTGAACTGCGTGTCAAAGTTGTCCAGGCCGTAGTCATCCGTGATCTGCGGCTGGAATGGAGGGAGGGCCTGCTTCTTCTCCAGCTTGGAAAAACAACACGAGAAACGTCTGATCAGGGCTGTAACCTCTGCCGGCTTTAGTCTGTGTGTGTATGCAAACCGCAAAATGAAATGGGAAGACACTCAGTGTTTACATATGCTTAGTACTTGAATGACAACATGCTGCTTTTTATCTTAAAACATAAAATAGAGGAGGAACTATCCAAAGTCAAAAAAATTCTGCTTGAGCTGAAAACAGGCCAGGAGGCAGGCTGCACGCCTGGATGGAGGAGAGGACCCTGACCGCCCCCGCAGCACCCTCTCTGACCCTGGGCATCAACTACCTCCAGCAGCCACCCCACCAGAATTGGCCAAGGCTGGCTGTGTTTTTTCTTTTGACTTCTTACATCCTAGAAACCTTTCTCATGAAGTTCCTGGGTGGGACAACCCCACCCTCACCCCCCACCCACCCATGTGCGGGCGCTCACAAGCGGCCGGGATGACCCCCCATCTGTAGTACCTTTTCCCCTTCCAAGCTGTCAGGGAACTGGTTCTTGACTCTTTACACACCACCTTT